TTTGTTGTTGTTGTTGTTGTTGTTGTTGTTGTTGTTGTTGTTGTTGTTGTTTTTTGCTGTGGGTTTTTTTTGGGGGGCGGAGGGTTGTTGTTGTGGATAGTTTCCCTGTACATTGAAGCTCTCAGAAGTTTTCACTCTGCCATTAGCCATTTCACATTTTATTGGGGACTACTTCCGTTTCGGTTTGTGCTTCGTCGTGTGTGTGAGACAGCTGCTTCTTCTATTTCTAGATCTAAAATCTCGATAGGCCCTATCCAACTATCAGGATGTGTGCTTCGTCGTGTGTGTGAGACAGCTGCTTCTTCTATTTCTACATCTAAAATCTCGATAGGCCCTATCCAACTATTAGGATGTGTGCTTCGTCGTGTCGATAAATACTTCAGCCACACTTCATTGTATTGACATTTTCTAGATACATAGTTTGGAGTAGTCATGTCCCCAACACGTTGAGTTCGTTTAGACCCACAAAATGTTTACTTCGTTGTATTGACCTTTTCAAAATTTGGCGCGTATTTGGGGTGTAGATTTTTTTGATAGAACAAGACTCTAGATCTAAATCTCTATATCCTAGATGTATTGGGAGCACAGATTTCAAGATTATTCAAAGATCCGCCTTGTTCGGAGGCGCTGACTCCCCGGGCCCCGGTGCGGTACCGAAAGTGAAAACGAAGCGCTCATATGACTTTATGCAGTTGCGAGCGCCGTAAAACCCTCTAATTGTACTATTTAAAAAAAGATTATTCATAATTTTATACAATAAAGAAGAAAATATGTGTATACCGCCTTCAGTCTCCTCAACGCTAATCAGTTCACAGAACTGGGATGTTGCTAGGAAAACGCAGGATCTCAGGCCAACAGGATCCCAGGCCAACAGTATCTCAGGCCAACAGGATCTCAGGCCAACAGGCCAACAGGATCTCAGGCCAACAGGATCTCAGGCCAACAGGATCTCAGGCCAACAGGATCTCAGGCCAACAGGATCTCAGGCCAACAGGATCCCAGGCCAACAGGATCCCAGGCCAACAGTATCCCAGGATCTCAGGCCAACAGGATCTCAGGCCAACAGGATCTCAGGCCAACAGGATCTCAGGCCAACAGGATATCAGGCAACGCACCAAGGGAGGAACCTACGGTGACCCATGTCAAGGCCTACAACCGGTCAAATGGTCCCCCTTTACTCTAACATGAACTGACGTGACCTCTGGGTGGGTTCATGACATATGGCGAGCAAAGAGTGGTCAACCTTGATGACCAACCACAGTGGTGTGAACCATGCCATTTTCTCGTATTATCCTATCAGGAGCGTCAAGATCTACGTTTATCCAGTTGCCCCTCCCCTTTACCTGTCCGAAATGTATTGATGTACATGTGTGTTGATGTGTTCAGTGTGTATATATGTGTGGCGTATGATGTATGCCGGGTACATGTGTGTTGATGTGTTCAGTGTGTATATCTCTGTGACGTATGATGTATGTCATGTACATGTGTGTTGATGTGTTCAGTGTGTATATCTCTGTGACGTATGATGTATGTCATGTACATGTGTGTTGATGTGTTCAGTGTGTATATCTCTGTGACGTATG